CATACAGGTTAATCAAAACCAGTGGTTTGGTCTGTATTTTGAATTCCCCTGAGACCAGGATATGATTTATTTAACTAATTCCAAAATACTAGCAATTTTCTTTACAGGAACATAAATGACATTAAACAAGAGATTGCATTCAGAGACAAAAGCCAAGCCGCTTGGTGGTGATGCAGTAAAGTTTATGAGATCACTTAGACTTAGAAAAGGCAATTTGGTTCCACAGTCAACACCCAGACAATGCAGACATTTTACAAAGAAACAACAGAACGAGATTAATCAGAGACAACAAACAAATCAGTGTTTGACAAAGGTAAGAGTTGGCACGCTGATAGCCTCGTGTGGTCTGTTTGGGCAATGACACCCACAAGGGCCAGATAAATTATGTCGATGCAGACGAGACAAATAATACTAAATTGGTCAAGAAAGTCATGCATTTTAATTTCATGTGGCTTTAAGAAGATAAAAGTTCACACAGATAAACATGAGCCCAGTCAATGATGCAAAACGGAGCAGAAATATTATCTGCCTTCACTGCAGAGGCTTTCCTGTACATTAAACATTCAGTGAAAAGTGAAAGGGAAGTCAAAGTAATGTAATAAAAAAAAGATAAGTGTGTGTATTCTGAATTAATGTTTGTTTACATAAAGATATCTAGGTCCTTCTGCATACCCAAGCTCTTATACATTCAATGTGAAGACAATAAACGTGAACATGATTTATGACCAAAACAACCATAGCTGATCACAGGTGTGTAGTTGTGTGTTGATATGTCTGCTGGAACAAGAAAAGCCAGTTCAGGATGATACCACAGGCTGTGAAGAGGAAGATAACGGCATGTATTGTTCTATCTTAAGTGCCCCCCTGACCTCTGTTTCTCATGCACATACCAATTAAGAAAAGACAAAGGAATGGAATAAGCGACACATACGGAGGTTGAGTTTACGAATGACTTCTATCATAAAACCGTGGGTACCTTTTTTTTAGGATAAAAAAGTCCAAGAAGAGTGCGCATGGCTCTTCATTATGTTGCGTAACAGTGATGAGGAGGTAGAGAGGTTCAAAAGAAGCTCACTAACAATGGCAGCTTCTTAACTTCTCGGTGAGTCATTATAAACAATGAGTCAGCTCTGACACGGAGCTGCAACCAGCTCTGCAGCCTGCTGCTGTTTACACAGCTCTGTTTTAGAAGACACCCGTCACCGTGATCCGTCTCCAGTTTGAGTACTCAGAATGAACAGCTAATTCTTAAGTATTCCCTGTTGTTGTATGTTTTATTCCTGGTTTGGTCCAGCTTTGCTTTGATTTTAAAATCACCAGTGTATCTCAACGTTTACAGTTTATTATTCACTTAAGTTGTAGTCTTGATTGAAGGGCTTTTGAGTCATGGTTTTATTGAGTAATTACCTAAGTTCAGCTGAACCTACTGAAACCTAAGTGAGGTTTAAGTCCAGTATAAACACATTTTTCACTCATAGGCTAACCTGTCTGAGCTCAGTATTCATTTAAGTCTTAGACAAAATTTTACTGGTATTTTTGTCCTGAGTTGGCCCAATTTACAGTCAATTTATAGGAAAATATTTATTCTTATTCAGGCCATGGTATTGTCCAACATTCAATGGTGTTTAGTTCTGTTTCAGTCTCTAATGAAGTTGTGATTAAGCCAGGATCTGGTGTACTGTTTACCTGGGTTTCAGTCCATTGTGAACTGATATTTTAGCCATTGTTTGTTCCAATATTCAGGCACTTAAGTCCTGTTGCGACAAAAATCAATACCAAGTGAGGTTAGACATGTTTGAGACTAAAACAAACTGCTCTTTTGGCCTTGGTTTGGTTCAATATTTGGTCATGTTTTAATCTAGTTTTAGACCAATTCAAAATGGTCTTTAAGCCCTAGTTTGGTCAAATATTTGGGGATGTTTTAGTCCATTACTCACTTGCGTCATGGTTACAGAATGTATATCGATGTCTCTTACATATTTGATTTTCCTGTCCCCTTAGTAGCCTTGTTTTAACCGAAGTTAGGAGTCATATTTAGCAATGCTTCAGCCCTATTTTGGACATTTATTACATCTTAAACCAGAGTTTGGCCCAGTCTTTGTTGGTGTTTAAGGCTTGTTTTTGTTCAGTATTTATTTTAATTTAATTTTGAATCAGAATATGTGTATTTTGGTTATTCTTAAGCTTTGTAGAGATTTTTTTGTCCACTTTAAGTCTACTCTTGTATTTTAGCTTTAGCTTTGCCAGTATGTCCTTGGGTTTTGCCCTTATGTGTTTATCAAGTACTGTCTCCTGTTACGCTCTGAGTCGTCAAAGAGATTGTCTTTTCAGTCCTGTTTGAGGCCAATGTGTACCTACCTCTTGTTTGGTTTCATATTCTCTGTTGTTTTAGGCTTTGTGTGCACTGAGCCACCTCATCTTTATGTGATGTGTGTGTCTTAACTGACTGCATTAAAGACTGCAGTGATTTTCTGCCACTCAGAAGAACTTCTTTTAGGGCCTTGAGAAGACATTTCTTCTCCAGCCTAAACTTTTCCATTAAAGGTTTATTCTCCACACGCCATTGATCCTGACAGCCTGCCTTGAAAGATATAGGCAGAGCAACAAGGATAATGCTGCACAGGTTAATTGTGTGGGTATTAGGGATGGACAGTATGTCAATATTCACAGACATTTGTGAAATTTGTTCATAGACAAATTGAAGTGTAAAGTTGAGTTTTGTGAAAGCAAAACTCTCACACAACTTTATCTATTCGGTCAATTCGGTTTAAAGGCTTTAATGGTTGGAAAGTTACACAAGAAACATCTTGCTAAAGCGTTAAACCTCACATATCCTATTTTAAATGATTCCCTGAGCTCCCCAAAACATGTCTTTGAAGTTTCTTGCTCTAAATCCACTCTGATCCTGTATTTGATCATGCCTACCCCTCTATTTCAGCCCTGCTCAGAACGGGCTGTTTCTGTGTCTGTACCTTTAAATGTAAATGAGCTGTGTCTGACCACACCCCCCTCTCCCTCCTATTGTTTACAGTGAGAAGGCAGACTCAGAGGGCAGAACAAACAGCTAGCTGTGGGTGTGTCATCTACCTGGGGGAGGGGCTACTGCCCTTTGTGATGTCATGAAGGGAAAATCTCCAAATGGCCTGTTTGAGCCCACATTTTCTGAAGAGTGGAGCAGGCAAGAAGCTTATTCACCAATAAGCTTCTACCTTCAGAGTTTTCAGGATGACTATGTACATTTTTCCTTATGGACGCCAACATAACCACGTTTTTTTCTTCTTTTTTTCCTCTTCAGATTTTCCGTTTCTCTTTTTATAATGAGCTTTTCTTCTCTGACTGCCTAATGGGGCCACACTTTTCTTTTCTTGCCTCTTCATGACTCTCATCTTTACACTAACGTGATGAAAAGAAAACCTTCAACAAGTTTAATTGCGCTCCATCTTACTCTTTGATTTTCAAAAGAGACCCAAATGAGAAGAATTATGTGAGAAGGCATTAAAAGGGGCCCTCAGAGGTAATGAAAATGGACTGACAGAAAGATGCTCATCAAAATGAAAGGTTTTGCTCTCTTGAAAAGAGGCAAAATGGGAGAGATACACAAAAACTACAACAGGGAAAGAAATCAACTATATTTTCTCACAAGTCTGATTTGTTTTCTGTCATTTTTCTCTCTGAGCTTCAGTGTGTGAAAGCACACCAACACACCACTGAGACCAAAACAAGAACGCATCATCACAGCCACCGAATAACAATGAGACTGTTCCTGTTGCTTCGGGCTGCTTTCTAGTTAGCTTTCCGATCAGCCACGCAGAACATATTGGAGTGCGGGTTTTGTCACAAATTATCTACCGGTGCCTGCTGGGGACAGTTGCTGCGTTCATATGTGAACCCATGAGAATTCAAATTAAAAATTGTGAAAAGAAATGAAATCTTAAGTACATTTGGCCCAATTAGGTTTCCTTTCCAGGGGAAGTTTGTGAACCGCAAAGGGCATCTAAGGACAAAACTGCATGCCTGCACACATTATCAAGATGGGGGAGGGGGGGGGGGTTAACACACACAGACATGAATACACAACAAAATAGCACTCAAACACACTTGGAAACAGTGCATGTAATTTTTCGCCTGATTGATCCTGCAGGCCAGGGGAGATGAGTTCCACTCCCCTGCAAGGATAATACAAAAATATGTGTGTGTTTGTGTGTGTGTGTGTGTGTGTGTGTGTGTGTGTGTGTGTGTGTGTGTGTGTGACCATATGTAACATATGTAATCCTCTGGGCAGCATCATGGGATATGACAGAGCAGGAGAATAAACCACAGCTCCCACTGTTTCGGGTTCAGACACCAAGGGAGTTTTTAATAGACATTTCGGTTTTGTACCAAGGCATCAAATATTTTCCAAAACGGCTGAACATGTTTTAGCCCCACATTTTTTTTTTTTTTTAAGGGTTTTATTTCTGAGCTTTTTATTCAGAGAACAAGCGATGGATAGAGGCAGGCATCGGGGGGAGAGAGAGAGTGGGGATTGACATGCTGGACAGAAGCCACCGGTTGCAATCTAATCCAGGCCCGCCCAACCCGGGGCGCTTGGCGGGCTATAGCCAGAATAAATACTTGAATGAATATAGTTTGTACCACCACCACATAATGTGATAGAGTTGATTACACCGAAAATACTTTTTGAGAATAGCAACATATAAATCTTAGCCTAATTCTTTCGGACTCAAAAAAATGTATGTACAAAGACACAATTGAAAGGCACAAATTGCTCTAGCACACTATCTAAATTGCCAAATTACATTAGTTGGCAATATTTTGGTACAGAATCATTTCCAGTAAATCATAGTTTGCAACTTGGGGTGGCACCTGGGTTGGCGAATCAGATTTAAAGGTGGGCTCATGCCAAATATACAAAGTCTTCAAAAAGGCTTTTTAAGAATTGTGTGTGTGAAATAGCAAGAGTTTCCCCCTACTGTTAGAAAATCCAAAACAAACAGATGACAGATTGAACATGAGTTCTGAATTTATTGGAAGACACTTAAAATAAATGTTCCATATAATATGTAGAACGTGTAAATAGGACATTACAGCTTACATGTTAGCCTCAACATCAAAATAATCTACTATTTCATTATTGATAGCTATCCCCAAAAGACAAAATCTTTGTTATCATCGTAAAACATATTTTGTCATCAACATCCCTTCACCAAAAAAACACAAATTATAATGTAGGCGTATGAGGAGTACCTATGTTTGTATTTAAAACCCAAATGTATGATCATGTCTGAAAATAAAACAGATTATAGACTTTGAGAAATCTAACTTAAACAGTGACCCAACACTGCATCTCCAGGACCTCTAACCTCAGAGGGATGGCATGACTTCATCATGTTAAGTTCCTCTCTAATTTAAGATCAATTACTTACAAAATCCCATTCCATATTGATTTAGCTATCCTTAACATGAAAAGAAAGCACTCAAGGAAACCTAGTGAACAGGGTTAGACATTTGGGCTAAGAAGTTTAATGCTCTACCACTTTCATTTGATCCATCACCAGTTCATACTGTAGAACGACAGAACAAGAATACAGAGTAAGATGAATGGAGAAGATTGCATTGCGACACCATTTGCAAATACACTCTCAAAATCCTCCCTGCAATCATCTGACCATGAATTTAAACACAGGGAGGGATCTGGGGTTTGGGGATTGGGGTGTTTGGTGGGGTAGGGGGTTGTTGAACATTCAAACTCGCTGTCAGTGTCACTTCCAAAGAGCACAAAAGGAGTAAAGTTTATTTGGTCTATGCCAGTGACGTGGCCAATCCAGTCTGCATGACTGGTCACGTTGGTGTATCCTCTGAGACTTCTGGTGGGGGGGCAGGTTGGATCCACATTCACAACTCCAATAATGCTCCAGTACTGTCCATCAGACTTGGCCATCAGTGCCCCCCCTACATTGCCCTGGTGAACAAAATAAATTAAATTATTTGAGATAGCATAGGACGCATGTATACAGGAGAACTTAACACAGTAGTAGCCATCCTGCTGAGGCAATAACTCCACATAGCTTTTTGGTAACTTCAAAAGTTTGACCCCTTTGGACATAACTGTCACACATAACCGGATTGATCTAGAATAAAGTATTAATTGGTACAATACTGGATTCACCGGGTTAATGTAAGATAGTGGTAATATAAATGAGCTAAACTAGAATTAGCAAAAATAGCACAAACAAAGTTTGATTAAAGTAAGGTAAACTTATGGTAACATTACTGGATTAAACTATGGGAAGCTAATGCTAAGATAACTATATTACCCTCAAGTAATGGGCACATATGCTAACCTCACTAGATAAAACGTACGTGACGGGAGCTAATATGTAAAAAGATGGATAAAACTGGAGTCAGGAGGGCTTTTGCTAACATAGCTGGATTAAATAAGAATTAGGTAGACTTGGTGTGACATAATTGGAAATAGAACATGGTAAAATAGTGAAAACTGAGCTGGATAATCTAGAGTCAGGTAGGCTTTTGCTAACGTAATTGGATAAAACTAGAACAAGTTTTGATAACACTAGAAGAACTAGACAAATCCAGAATCAGAGTAACAAGCCATTACATTACAAATACAAAACCATGCAACAAGTTGTGGTTACCAGACAGTTGTCCATCCTTTCCATATGTTCTTCTTTATATCCAGCACAGACCATATCCATTGGACGTTTACGAAGGAAGCAGTCACACTCATTGTTTCCAACAAAGGGTACTTGCTCCCTGGCATGATCAGGGTAACCTAATGAGAGATAATTCAAAGGCAATATTCATATTGGGGTGCAAAACACCAAAAAAGAAAAAAGTGTACTTTAAGTAATTATTCGTGCAGTGTTAGCAGAACGTGTGTGTGCATAGAAAGCCTCTCTTTATTTGTGTACATTGTGATCTTACCGGTAGTGACCCAGCTGTCCAGCGTAGAGTCAAACTGGCTAGATGGTGAGGCAATGCAGATTGGATATATGGTGTCTGTGAAATTCACAGGGTGTGACAGCTGCAGAAGACATATGCCTTCCCTGGTTATCTTTGAACGCAAATCGCATGTTACGTTTGCAACGCTTTTCGAGTCCTCATAATGGTCCGTGGTCTCGTTCTTGCGTCCCAGAAAAACATGTTCAGGTCTTGAAGGGAAAAAAAAGAAGATAAGAAGTTCATGTTTAATTGTTAAGCATCCAAAATAGCAAGGCCAATATAGCAAGTTTGATTGATTACAACTTGATATATTGACATCAATATCAGGTCAGGTTTGACTCCCAGTCTTGACCCCATTGGTTTAAACATTTAAGAAGCAAAACTTCAATCGTCCCTCACCTAAATCCGCAGTTGCCGTCTGTCAGCACAAAATAGGGGGAGATAAGGTTCCCCAAGCATCGATCCTTCTCCATTTGAATAACAACCTGCCAAGGCAAATGGTCATCAAGGTCTTGGCCAGGTAGCTCTTGCCCGCATGATGGATGTGAGCCTGGTAAAAACACAACATGGTGACTGTTGTGTTAAGGTGAACTTATTACAGGTTGGAGTTAAACGATGGAATTATGGAGATAAAACAATGGCTTTTGATGTCTATTGTTAATTAGAAATGTGAATATTGGATGTTTACCTGGGTCATCGGCGTGACACCCTGAGATTGAGAACACAGAAAGAAATTTGTCAGGGGCGAGGCAGATGATGACTTGCATATTTCAGTGAATTCATACCAAAGAGAGACAAAAGTAGGCAGAAATCTCCAAACCAAAAATAGTTCAAAATGAGATAAAATGAGCATCTTTTTGACAATAATTGTTGAAATTAAATACAAAGATTAAATAGAATACATTACATGGCATAATAAACTATACACCAACTTAATGAAAATATGCATTACATAAAGAATACAGAATGCATTGAACAATATTAGCTCTCTTTCACTTTGTGAGATTGGAGACATAGAAAAATCAGAGGTTGAAATCAAAAAAGTGGACTTTCAAGGGCCATTGCACGCCCTTTTCCAAACCTTTGTTTTGTTTGTTTTTTAAGCTTTTACATCTACTAGTACTCGAATTCTTTGCATTAAAGGTAGGACATATTTTCACTTTATATTGAAGGGTACTATTAAACCCCGGCTAAGAGTTGATATTTGATTTTATTTATTGTCATTTTTAGTTTCCCAGCTTTCCCCCCTCTAGCAGCAACCTCGAAAAAGGCGTTTTGATGCAGAAAATATCTTCATTGTTGAATTAACGCCAATGATAAATCAGTTCAAGAACTCCATTCATGTTAAAACTGTTGCAATTTGGATGCTACAGCAATCCTTCAACAGTAACCCGTTAGAAAATGTTAATAAGAGATGCTTATTTTGGATGATTTTCCATTTTGGGTTCCCATACTACCCTCCCATAAAGCAACCGGTAAAAAAAAAGGTTTTTGAGACAAACTGTAGAATCACAAACGGTTGGTAAATTGCACTGAAATCGAATCTGTTTCAGGTTTTTGGAAAAAGTAAAACAAAGCATCTTCGAAAGAGCTACTTTTTGTACCTTTTTTTCTTGAGCAGTTTTCAACCCAAGAGCCCTACAGTCAACTTTAATCTGATATCAGCAAAGGAAACACTCAAAACATTGATTACATTGTCAAGTAAAAAATCCTCAAACTGTCTTTCTTACCATTTGATGTGAGAAGGATCATCACAGTTACACCACTCAGGAGCTTGTAGAGAGCCATTTTTCCACCTGTTCCTCCTTCACATTCTCCTTAATTTATATACCTTTGCCTAAAACTGAGCTCCACCTACACTGTCATACCTAACAACATACCAACAGTTCAATCTTCCCTTCATCAATCTCTGCACACAAGATCATGTGGAACATGTTTTTCTTGATGCCTGAGTGTTTTGTGTTCCAGCTCCCAGCTAGTTATGTTAAACTATTTACAAATAAGGAATGCAATACCTAAGTAATGTGAGAGTTTAAATTTCCCTTCAAGGACCTTAAACATGATGCGTTCAGTGTCGGAATCTTTCCCCTGCACATGTCCCCTATTACCTCTGAAGGAAAGCAGAAACTTCTTTTTCAGTTTCGCTTCAGTCTTGCTAACAGTAGCAGGCTTTTGCAACTTCAGTAGAGTTTATTTTTCATTTAAGTTACTGGAGTGTCAGTCTAACTTTTGTCAACAGGAACCATCCAAGCAAGTGAAAAACAAGATGTTCCTGTGAATACCAAACATCAGTTTACGATCTTGCGCTGTCTGTCATCTACCTCAGAGTTATAGATTACATCACACACATGAAGAGGTTGCCCATCAGGTGACAACAGCCACTAATAGTAGGAGTCATTACAGAACAAAGGATGCAGAGTTTGCGTCATATTGGGATTAACATAATGGTGCAGACTGACCCAGTGCAAAACAACGGTAAGTTTGCATCCATGTTGTGCACAGTTCTTTCTATAGATGACAAGACTCCAGCCCCCCCCTCCCCCTTCCCCCCCTAGCCCCTACCAAGTTGAACAAACACAAGATTTTGAACATGAAATTTCAAATTTATTAGGTGTCCAGAAACACTTGAAATACATGTTACTCCATGTCTAAAAATCGGTAAAAAGTAAAATTGTGTCTAACATGTAGCCTCAATGTCATACGGCCAAAGTGACTACAACTACAGCATTGCCTGTTTTCCCCTAAAAAGCTGAAAAAAAACATCTTAATCGTGTGATATAATCATACATTTTATCTTGTAAACAACATCCAGCCACCTAAAGAATACAAAATGTTATTCAAGATATATGAGGGATTACTAGGTTATATCAAATTTAGCTGGAAAATAATCAGCCAAATGATTTAGTCAAGCGAAGGCCTTGAACCAAAAGTGCTTTACAGCAGACATTGATAAGACACACTAATGTAAGATCAATGGTAATGGATGAGATAAACCAAAATGAATCAAATATAAATCAAATAACTTTGAGAAATCAACAAAAATTTGAACAACCCATCACCAATCTGCAGTGCTTTAACTTCTCTCTAACCTTTCAGGCATGACATCGCATTTTGGTTTCAGTACATGTGCCAAATGACACATTTCGTGCCACACCCTGGTGAAACATGCTTGGAACTTTCCACTTAAGATGGCACGATTGTTCTGGATTCTGGAGATCTATTATAAAGAAAAAATCCAATCTACATTTGCACATTTAGCATATCGATAATTCCTTTGATTCAGTTTGATTTGATTTGTAATTTAGTTCCCCTATTTCCTGCATACAAAGAAGAATTTTTATAACACCAGTGATTGAGACACTTTGGACTAAGTAGCTGATTGTTCCACGCTTTCATTTGATCCATCACCATTTAGTGCCATAAATCGAAAGAATGAGAACAGAAAGTAAGAGGAAGGGGGAAAAGCGCATCACGTTTACACCACCAAATATACTGTCCTTGTCAAAATCTTCTAATTGACAACCTTGGGGACAATGGGGAAGGGGTCTGGGTGGCATGAAAGATTCTGGGTGACCGGGTGCTGGACAGATAAAGCGGCTGTCAGGGTCCGTTCCTGCGCATTGGATGGGAGCAAAGCCTGGTGGATTGCTAGCGGTGGCGTTTGTGAGAAAATCTGCACACGGGGCCACATTGCTGTAACTTTTAAGACTCTTGAGTGGATGACAGTTTGGCTCCAAACTCACAACTCCAATCATGGTCCAGTAGCCTTTGAAATCAACCACCAGTGCTCCACCTAAATTATCCTGTGGACAGACATGCATGACAATTATGTAGATAGCATAGGAAAGCAGTAAAGAGGAATACCTATCACAGAAGCATCCATATGCAACATAAGCCACCAAGTGGTCCAGTTTGGTTCGGTACAGTTTGTTACGGTAAACCGGTAAAAGATTGTGAAGGAGGTAAAATAATCCTAATGGGGTTGGGGGAGGGTAACAAGGCATCTCATCACAAATATACTAAAAAGTTATAGTTACCAGGCTACTATCCATCATTGGAAAATGCTCTTCAGTATCTCCCGCACAGATCATGTGCTCTTTGAGTTTGGGATGGGAGCATTTACACTCATTGTAGCCGACTACCGAGACTTTCACCAGGGCTTCAAGATGTGAACCTAATCAGAGATAATTCAAAGTTAAAATGGGGTTGCCAAAAAAACAAATCAAAAAGATAAAAGTAATCAATGTATACCCTGTGATCTTACCGGTTGCAACCCAACTCTCTGTCCCACTGTGGATAGTGCTGTCCCCTGCAGCGACGCAGACTGGAAATATGAAGTCTGTAAAATTCACAGGGTGCGACAGCTCCAGAAGACACATGCGATCTTTGGTCAACAGTGAGTTGGGTGTAGGATTATTGCATTGGACGTGTACCACTTCCCTTGATTCTTCCAAGTCAGGATCCGGTATTTCCATGCGTCCAAGCGAAACTATTGTGTGATATTCAGGTCTTTAAGGAAAAGGAAGTTTATGTTTAGCTAGTCAGCATGCAAAAAAACCAAAAACAGCTCTACAAAGAAGTAGGTTGAGATAATACGTCACTTCCGACCTAAACAAGTGATTATGTTGACATTTGAAGAGAAAGGATGCAGGGTATGCATCGAGGTGCGAAATAAAATTGAGATGTTGGATGCTAAGTGCTAAGGCTAACTCTTTCATTCAGTAGAATGCCAAATGGAGCAGCAATAAATTCAGTCAATCTCACAGATTAGTGGAGTAGATCCTGAAGTATGTACTAAGAAAAAAAATAGACTTTTAATCATGAATCCAGAATTGAAAATAGATTCTCAATCTAACTGTGACCCCAAGAATCGAAATCTTATTGTGAGACACCTAAAGATTCCCAGCCCTAGATGCATTTCAACAACAAATACTTGAAGACACATTATCATGTTCTTAATAAAAAAAACAGAGGTGGAAGTTGCAACTCTACTGGTGATTTAAACATTGGGGGTTTGAACGGCTTCAACTAGATACATTTACAAAAAATGGCTGCAACTAAAAATCTTCTTTTGTCAAATACTTATGCAGATTATTTGTATTAACCATAATCAATCTTAGTTTAATTTATCAAATGTCAAGTCAAGTCATCTACAAAACCCAAAGACTTTACTACATTTTCATTTTAACAAACAACAGTGCAACAGTGATATTCCTACCACAGATCCACAGAAATGTAAAACACAAGTGACTACAGGTTTTATTGTGTTCCTGTCTTTAGACCATGTTGTATATCCCCATCATATCTTGTTACAAACAGGGAGACGAAAAGTTTAAGAAACAAAACTTCAAAAGTCCCTCACCCGAATCCGCAGTGACCGTCAGTGAGCACATGTTGGTTGGTAATGAGGGATCCTAAACAATTGATAACCCCATTGATGGTGATAATGGCCTGCCAAGGCAGATGTTCTGGATGACCTTCGGGCCTTATGCCACATGCTGCAGAGAGGAGATTTAAGCATGGAGAAAATTCAACAGGTGATTCAAACATTAAAGTAAAGCATTTATTTCAGGGCCGAATAATAGAGACAGAGCAATTCATTACTGCTGTTCTGTGCTTAATAAATCTGAAAGTAGGGAGCAAAATAGGGGGAACATTTTAACTTTGGTTTCTTACCTGGCATAACTGCGTAACACCCTGAGATTGAGAATACAGAAGAAAAAAAACAGTTAATCACAGCTCATCAGGGTGAGGCAGACAAAGACAAAAAGAGACAGAAGTTGACAGAAATCTCAAAAAAACACTTTCTTTTAAACAGCCGGCAGAATTTTCAATTAATTTAACGTTTTTTTTAATCATTGTGTCTCCTTGTGAAAATTAGCAAATTTCAAATGGTTGATTGTGCAACAAAATCTGTTCTATTGCCAAAATGAAAGAAATGAATGTTTCTTGTCCACTTATGAAAATGATTTGTCCGTATGGGACTTGGGTTGGGAACTGGAGGGTGGCCAGTTGAAGTCCCGATGTGGATCATAATATGGAAGTAGGTCTGGTAGCTTGAGAGGTACAAGGGCACTTCCTAAGTACTGCTGACATGCCCTTGAGCAAGGCTCAGAGTCCCCAACTGCTGTGGTGCGCTCTCTGCATAAAAGTGTGTAGCAGCCCCACTCTGTCCAATGGTCCTGTTTCGGGCCGATTTGTGTGAGGAGCATGTCTCTAAATAACAGTGTAAAACACTGAATTAAACACCTGTTGTATTAATAATTATAATAATTAACATACCGTATTTATCGGTATAGGCCTACGGCACTTTTCAAAACAAAGTGTTTCTCAAGGGCGAACTATGTACAGTATGATTCAACATTAAAATCAAGCAATATTATCAACATTTTTAAATAACAGAGAAAATACAGGCCACATCTTTAACTAAACTAAACTAAAGCTCGTCAAACTTCTCCTCCGATGTCTCCTATTCCTCACACACGTCCTCCCCCCCGCTGTGTTCGCTCTCACTGTCATCGCTCCCCTGCTCCTCCCAGAGCGCGTCATGTGTGTTGACATTTAAAGGGACAGGCGAACAATTAGAGCTGCGCTCTGAATACTAGACCCGAATATAAGACGACCCAACTTTTTCGGATCTATTTCGATGGGGAAAAATGCCGTCTTATATTCGGACCAATACGGTATAAAGATGACATGCTTTCACATTGATCCTGAAACACTTTTGTCGCAGACTTTCACTAAAACCCAGTCAACTTTATTGCATTTAGTTTCCAAAGCTACAGCATTAAATTAATACCTCACACCAATAACTTTTCTCAATTTTAAATGGAAAAGGACAATGTCCACTGAATTATATTTTTTATGCCTTCATTTAGTATAGGATAGTGGATAGAAATAGGGATCTGGAAGAGAGAGGTTGGAATGATAGGTGGGAAAGGGGTCACATGTTGGATTGGAACCCGTGCCTTCTGCTAGGAGGAAAACAGCCTCAGTACAAGGGGCATATGCACTAACCACAGGGCCACCTGCAGCCCAAAACACTACAAAAAATGTTTCCATCACTAAGTAAACATCACAGAGCGAGCAATTGGTACATCGCATCCAGATCAAACTAGTTGCGGGTTGGATGTTGAGTAGGTCCTTCAAGATAACCTGCTAGAAAAATGTTGAGGGGAAAAAGAGGCATCTTGTACAAGTAGATCTACTTTTGTTCTTTTACTTGAGCAGTTTTCAACCCAAGTGCCCTTACATCAACCTTAAGTCTGATATCAGCAAACTATAAAACGCTATATAGTCAAGGAAAATCAAACAGTCTTTCTTACCATCTGGTGTGAGAAGGATCATCACTGTTACCCCGCACAGGAAGTTGTAGAGAGCCATTTTTTTAATGCGTCTCTTCAAATGTTCTCCTCCATTTATATATCTTTTACCCTATACTGAACGCCTCCTTAAGTGTCCCACCTTCCAATTGACCTACATAACTTGTATTCATTACATTCAACCTTTCAATCATTCTATATATAATTAGGTTTATCAAAAAGCAATCGGGTCGAACATGTTTTTCTTCATGCCTGTTTGTTTATTTGCAGCTTATATGTTCCAAAGTTTCAAGCCAAAGATGTTCAAGCATGGTATGTACTAATCAGGAATGCAGGACCTAAACATTGCGTCAATCAATCAATCATCATTTGTATAGCGCCAACTCATAACAGATAACATAAGTTATCTCAGGACAAAAGAGCAACTCACCTTACTCTTTAATGCAGTCTCCATCATCCTGATATTCACTCACCACGTTTCTGAAGGTGGTTGTGTTGCAAGCAGAGTTTGACTTACTAAACCTAGAAGTTTCAAGTAAAGTGGTAACTTTGCATCCATATACACAATGCTATGTGTGAGATGGTGTAATCATGACCCACTCTGGAGGTCACAACGAAGCCAGACACCGTGTTGAATGTTTAAACCATTCTTTACTCAAACCAATACATCGAACAGTTTTTGATGAAACCAAATTAGGTCAATTTAAATAGTTTAAGAGTTAAGTATCCCGGGGTCTTGTTCACGAGTAAGCATAGGTAGGGCCACGAGATTGACAGACGGATTGGCTACGCGTCAGCAGTAATGCAGGCGTTGTGCCGGACCATTGTGGAGAAGAGGGAGCTGAGCCTGAAGGCAAAGCTCTCAATTTACCGGTCGATCTTCATTCCAACCCTCACCTATGGTCATGAGCTGTGGGTAGTGACCGAAAGAATAAGAGCTTGGATATAAGCGGCCGAAATGGGTGGCTGGGGGCATTAGGATGCCTCCTGGATGCCTCCCTTTGGAGGTTTTCCAGGCATGCCCATCTAGTAGGGGCCCCCAGGATAGACCCCGAGTTCGCTGGGGGGATTGTGATTATGTCTGGCCTGGGAACGCCTCGGAATCCCCCAGGAGGGGCTGGAAAACATTGCTGGGGAGAAGGATGTCTGGGTTGACTTACTGCGCCTGCTGCAACCGCGACCTGACATTGGAAAGTGGAAGAAGATTGACGGATGGAAATATGAGTTGTGTAAGTCAGTAAAGTCAGTATGGTGTATGTGGGTATAGATGCTGTGAAATGTACAAGGTAAGAAGGTTAACAAAGTGGAGCAGAGAGAGAGTCTGTGTGATACTGCAGGAGCTTAAGCAGGGTTCCCTCTACGAGATAACCAATCAGATTTTTGTCCCAGATTCCAGTTTCCATCAATTCTGAGCAAAGTCACGATTTTTTGATGGAACAAAACATTACCTTGCTAGATAGAAACAACATAGGAGGCAGGCATTCTTTAGGCAGGTGAAACAACACAGCATGAAACTGATAGACTGATCTATATTTATCAGTTTTAGTATGAACTAGCCTTTACGATAAAGCATTGATCTTGCAGTGAGTGTCTGCTTCTGGTTGCGATGATCGGCCAACTTTGAATGTTGTGTTTATAAGCGGCAAAGAACAATGCTACTGACTCCACCCCTTCTAAAATGTATGCAGACTTACTCAAGTGTGTCCCCTCCCCCTCCCCATGATTGTAAAAAACAAAAAAACACTTTTAGATTTAGATTTTAATTTATTAGGTGTCCACACATACATGTAAAATAAAAGTCGTGCCATGGCTGATGAATGTGTAAATCATTGCGGTATATGTTATCCACAACATCATAAAGAAAGTATTTAGAATTTTTACTGCCTGCTGTCCCCAAAAGTCAACATCTATATTGTATGTTATCGTTATATTAATATCTTGTAGTCAACTTCCCTTCACCGAAGAATAAAACATTTTAATCAACGTGTATGATATGGCAAATGAATAATCCCAGTGATTGAGAGTGTCATTTTATTTCCCTAATTTCTACATAAAAAGAAGAAGGGACTTTATAAAACCCTGTGAATGAGACACGCTGAATGCTCATTTTACCAAGTACCATAGAGCGAAAGAAAAAGAACGGAGAGTAAGACAAAGGGGGAAGAGTGCATCATGTTTACACCACCAAATAAACTGTCATCCATGCAACCAAATGCTGTTGGATATGGACACATGGGGGGGTTGGTTGGACGGGGTTTCATTGTTTTACACCTAAATTGAGTGTCTGGGTCATATTCTTTTGGGCCCAAGGGAATAAAGCCTGGTTTGCTCATGCCAGTGACATCCCTGATCCATTGTTCATACAAGGACACGTCAGTGTAAGTTCTGACATGTCCAGCCGGGGGGCATCTTCCATCGTATTGGTTGATCCCGATCTGGGTCCAGGAATTATTTTGATAGGCCATCAGTGCCCCACCTACATTTGTCTGAGGAAAGAAATGAATGATAAAACAAAGCAATAACATAAATGAGAAATAGCCATTCTTCTGAGAAACATTTGTAACTGTTAAGTCTGAGTGAATACCAACCTCACTGGATTAACTAGCATAAGGTAAGATAATGCTAACAGAGCAGGCTAATTCTGGTCAGGTACGCTTTTGCTAACATAATTGTATTAATGGATAACCCTAAGCTAATGATGAGATAACTGGATAAAAAAAAGTGATATGTTGAACTTAATGAAACTGGAACAAGGTGAGTAAATGCTTACACAACTTAAGTACACTAGAATAAAGTAAGATAATGCTAACATCACTGGACTAAATTAATGTTTAAAAAGTTGGCTAATTCTAGCGTCAGTTAAGCTACTGATAAAATAACTGTATTAAAATAAAGTAAGATAAAATGATGCCAACAGTGTTTTATTGAACTAGAATAAGGCAAGTTTAAGATAATTTATTCAGATTAAATTTGGGTAAGAGATGCTAATGCTAACCTAAATGCATACAAGTAAATACAAGGATGCTAACGTAACAGAATCCAGAAACCTCAGACAAGCTGTTAAAACAAAATAAAACTAGAGTATAGTAAGCTAATGCTAAGGTAAACAAGGCATTGCACCAAAATACACAAAAAGTTGTAGTTACCATACAATCTGTGGGTGTTCCCTCCTTGACTCCGCGTCCAGCACAGATCACACTTGGCCCGATTTCAGGACGGTTGCATTTACACTCATTGCGTCCAACAATTGGTACCTCCATCCTGGCTGCAGAAGTTGTACCTTATCAGAGACAATTTCATAGGCAAGGTTTATGTCCGGTTTCAAAAACATGATCAGGGAAAAAACGAGTTAGAATTCATGCAGTGTTATTCAGAAAGGTTACGCATTCCTATTCTATTATTAACTGACTAATGGCTGGCACAGACGCTCATATAAGCCTTGAACAGTGGTCCTCAACTTTCTAGGTTCAGGACCCACCACCAAAAATTGCCACCCAAATTTCTGATATCTTTTAACCAAGCAGTTTCATTTAATGACAAAAAGCTCAGTTTGGACCTCAGATGGATCAAAGACTTTTTTTAACAGAATCTTTTTTTTCTAGTCACACACTCGCGACCCACTGAAAATGGCTTCCCGACCTACTTTTGGGTCCCGTCCCACTAGTTGAGAACCACTGGCCTATAAGATAGCTGGTACTGGCTCCCAGTCCACATTGGTAAGGTTGGAATGTGGTGCTAGTTAGTCAATGTTCCACTTTGTAGATATTTACACATTAAAGGTAGAATCCTTATTTATATATTTTAACTTCACTAAGTCAGCAGCTTATCTGTAAGAGAGCTTTTATCTCGAATCTGATTAAGCAGTATCGTGGGTTACTATAATTAATGTCTCTTTATATACTCTGCGATCTTACCGCTAGCGACATAGCTCTTCATCCCGGAGAAGGAATTGCTGTTTTGTGCGACCAAGCAGACCGTAGATATGGAGTCTGTAATATTCACAGGGCTTGATAACTTCATAAGACATACACCCGGCTCGTTAATCAGTGATCCTTCATCATCATCATCATCATCATCACTGCATGTGATGTCTTCCACTGTCACCGATTGTTCGTAGAGCTGTGAAAATGAGTTGCGTCTTTGTCCAAGATGAACCCACGTGCCTTCTTCAGATCTTGATAAAAAGAAGTAGAGAAGTTATTTTCAACCCCTGCTATAAATGAGTGATTACACTATCCGAGTTAGTGTAAAAAACAACAACCCCAAAACATTCATTTGAATACCAATGTATATAACAGACTGTTTCTGAGGATGAATTGATGAATCCATTAATTGTGGCAGCACCATTTACATTACACATTAAAGTGTGTTGTAATATTTACATTCTATGGTTGTCCCTAAAAAAAAATGATGACGTAAATCACGAGTCGCAGTGGGTGCATTTTTCTCCATTGATGGGCAATTTCTCATAGATGGCTGGGATAGTTTGATAGCTTGATGCTAACTCATAATGGTAATTGCCGTTAACAGGGTGAAAGAATAAGCATAACTTTGAAAAATCCCCATCTTGTGTTTAGGGGGCGTGTCACTGACTTGGTCCTTAAAACCGAGGAAGTCACGTACATAACTATGGGATGAAAATCAAACTAAAAATGCATTTAATTTATTTGTTTTTGAGGCGGCATTTTCCTTCTAATCACAGTAATGACTTGGAAAATTAGCCAATCAGTGGTGGTCTCGGCCATTGTGATCTAAAATCTAGGGTTCACCCAGTCTGAGACCGAGACAAGACCGAGAAAAAATGCTTTTGATTCTGAGACTAGACCAAGACCACCAAAAAGTGGTCTTCAGACCAAGACCGATCTTAAGACCAAGACCAATTTCCAGCACTACAAAACTACCTACCAGCATGAATACCAGCCCCTTTTCTGTTGAATTCCATTGTGTTCATGCCTTTAGACAATGGTGTGCATCTCCATTTTCCTTTCATGTCCCGCACATCAACAAGAAACAATACTCAAATAATCTCTTACCTTATGTTGCAGTCTTTACTTGTCAGCACCCACTGGTCGGTAATCAAAGACCCTGAACAGTTAGTGAGTGAACTTGGACTGGCAATGATCGCACGCCATGGCCAATTGTCTGATTTTGGATCTCCCATCCCTCTGCCACATCCTGAGGAGAAGAGCATGGAGCATATGCACCTTGGTGATTCTAACATTTAGTAAATGTTAAGGACTGGAGTTAAAAGATGAAGTTATGAACCATTCCTTGATGCTGCTCTATCATTAATATATCTGAGGGGAGGGAGAACAAATCAAAGAACTTACGTTTTGGATGCTTACCCAGCTGTTGTGAATGACTCCCTGAAATTGGGAACACAGATAGAAATACGTTAAACAGAGCGGGTCAGGGTGAGGCGGATGATGACCGAGCACATGCAATTCCATAGAGAGCCATGAGAAGACAGAAATCTCAAATTCAAAAATACTTTATCCAAACCTGATGTATTCATCAACCTGTTAAACTCCTCTTTAAACATGTTACCGCAGCACAAAGTAACTTTTAAAAACATCAAACTGTTAATCTTACCTTTGGGAGCGAGAATGAGCATCACCGTTGCACCACAGAGAAACTTGACCAGAGCCATTTTTTCCATCTGTGCCGCCTTCCCCTTTTTCCTCATCTTTAAATATCTTTCACAAAAAAACACTCAGCTCCACCCAGGGTGTCACCTTATCTAATCCAACATCATTCATTCATTCCCCAGAAAACCGCTTGATAACAATCGAACAGTAAGTGCTGGATCAGGCCATGAAAGAAAAGCAAGTTCAACATGTTTGTCATGATACCTGTGTGGCTGAGGCTTTTGTGTACGATGGGCTTATTATGTTCAGGTATGGACAAAGGAGAATGCATTACCTTAATGTGTAAAAGGTTGAAGTCCCAACAATAAGGACCTCAGTCATCGGCTGGAAGCAGATAAAGTAATGTTTGTGGCCTCGTTCTGTCATGTGATTTGATATAATGAAGAAATTTGACTTTTATTTTCATTGAACTTCCTTCAGTGACAAACTCCTGGAAGGGGAATATTTCATGTTATTTTATGTAATTTTACCTGTAAATGTTTGCCTTTATTGGATAGGACAGCTGAAGAGAGACTGTAGACACTGGGAGGAGTGAGTGGGGGATGACAAGTAGCATAGGGCCGAGGTCGGGGTCGAACCATAGTGTAAATATTAATGGACGAAGCCTGAGTCACGTCAGCCATCTGTTCCTGCAGGGGGCTCCTGAGTCTCATCGGCAGCAGCCGCCATGCTGGAAATCCTGTCTCAGCCTAACTTTCAGTAAACCAAACGACAGGCTGAGAGCTGGAGCTGAGGCGGGTTTTAAGCCTCTTGACGAACCGTTACATCTGCCCACCTGTCAATCACGTCAGCTACACACCTAACTATGAATAACACACATCGTTCAGAAAACGTGACTCAAATCAAGGCACTCATGTTGTGATTTATCGATAACTATATCTTTTAACCCTCTTATCGACATAAATCCTATTTGTCATATTGGCATGTTTGCTAACCAACACACAAAAACTGTGAATTTGTGTCCATACACAAAAATGTTTTCCTGAGACATGGCTTTAATGTTACACAAAGACACCTACGACGAGGCCCATAAATCATGTGTTGTTTTCATGTCCTTCCCCACATCAAACCGGTTAGTCATGATTTATTAGTCTCAATAGACGTGCTTGGAGAGCTTGGCATTGTCTGGCAAATAATAAAACCCACAGAGGCTTTGTCCTGCCGTCACACAACAACCATGTGATGCACAAACCAAACTTTATTTTGAAAACCCCCGTACTGTAGAAGTCACAGGGCCTAAATGTAACTGAACATTTGTTTAGAATATAAATCCAGGCACCAACACCACCAACTATGGTGGTGTTGGCTGACAAAAATCTCTGATTTCTAGTTTTTAGAAAGTCACCCACATTTTTTGTGAGAACATATTTTCAAAACTCTAAATTGGGACACTTGATCTATCCACATGTTTCAATCCACAGATCGTTGACCTGCGTGAGGTTGCATATTAACCACGGGTCCTTTGGTGTCCTTTGGTGCTGGTGCACACATGAAACCAGTTGATCATGTTTGTTTTTCCACAAAAGGAGAGACTAAATGGGCCTGGCCTTGTCTGGCAAACACAATAACTACAAAGTCTTTGTCCTGCTGCCAAAAGACAGAAACCACTTTTTCACTTTTTTGCCTTTGGTTCAGGGGTGGAGCAGCGTCTTTAAAACAAAATAGAATACTGACTTACAGAAAAGCAAGAAACCTGAAAATAGGAATACCGGGTACCTCCAGCCCAAACTAAAACAACAAAACCCATCAATCTAAACATGCATGGTGGTAACAATATCTAACTGAGTGTGCAGAAAGCAGAGGGAGACCAGGCTGCACATAACACATGATTCGAATAAATTGGAATCAAATATTAAATATTCCAACTGAAATGAGTTGATGCCATTTTCTAAGTTCAAATTTGACTTGAGAACATAACATCTCCATTGTGTCTGATTGACAGTGAGTGGGAAGAATGAAACAAATGTGAACCACTCAAATTACAACCCAGCGAAGTTGTTGTCAAGAACCGAACGTATCAGTGTTTCCCACACATAGACGATACCTATGTTTAAGGCCGCCTGAGTATATTTCCAACCTGTTTTTCTTCATTTTTTTCTTTCTTAATAAAAATTCCCACATACACCAGAGTGAGCAGGGCAGAGGAAAAAGCGCGAGGACCTCACTGTGCACACCTTGGCGCCGCGGATCCATGCAACATAACAAAACTCCCGTTTCTTTAAATGAATGCACCGATCGAGGTGCCGTGCTCATATCAAAAGCTGAAGCTTCTCATTTGAATAATGTTGATGTACAGCTGCTTGCTGCTGATTCTGTTCTGTACGCTTATCAATAACAGAATATCAAGTGGAACGAGAGGGGTACTCCTGGAGGGAAAAAAACACATTTAATATAAATACAAACCTAATATTAAAATATATTGCGTCATTCTGTGGGAAACACTGCATACATGCACAGAAATAAAGATAAAATGAGGCAATAGGTAACATGCTCTACACCTCCACGTTTAAAAAAAAAACACTTAGATTTGACATTTGATTCTCCCCTTTGTGTTTCATTCTTGAGACATCAGATGTACTCTGAAGCTCTTTGACACTTCATGCCATAAAGAAGAATTCTGTAATCATAACATGTGAACACGAAGGCATGAACTTGTTTTGTCTTTTCACCCAGCAGTGACAATCACCAGCTTACAGATCCACCCATCTCTGCTGCGTCCAACTGTGTACAACAGTGAGCTGAAAACTTTCCTACAGATATTTGCGTCTCCTCTGATGTCACACCCAGGATTGTCGCACATTTGTACACAGCATGCAAACAAAGCCACAAAAAAACAACACGACTGCACCACACTTTAATGTTTATTCAGCATGTCTGTTTTTATAATTGCACTTTAACACAACTAACCAGTTAGCCCATCCAAATGGTAACACTTTTGAAAAAAATGTATCCAAACTGTGTAAAGCTGCAGGTAATGCATGGGTTTCATCTGCACTCTTCTATAAATACAGCTTAAAAATCCACTGCTGGAATCTGACCTTACAAGAATCAGGGTGTTGCAAAGATATCAGATGTGCTTTCATGCCCTTGCATGCATCAAACTGGTTAATCATGATTCCCCACCCCCACATCCACCCTCATCCCCACACCCTCACATGGTTTCTTTGGTTTTGAAAGTCAATCATGTGAGAGTTCTGAGAGCCTTTGGACACAGTTCCCACAGAATCAAAATTAAAGGACAATTAAAACCAAGACCACCAAATCTCCATATGAGTACAAATAAAGTAACCAAACCCAATGTTTGTCCAAGCAGTGGTCAAAGGACAACTTTCAGACACACCTGGTCTGCAATTGCAAGAACATTGATGCACATTTCTGAACTACAAAAACAAACGAAGCCCTGTTAATATAAAGATATAGTGCTTTTCTGTAGTCATTGTCAATGTGTCAGATTTTTGTTTTAAGTTGTACAAAGATCCTCAGATTCATTATCTGTTGATTTCGTCCTGTATATACTAACCCTACCCACAAAGACCATCCTGTGTACAGTTCAATATCTCTCACTATGAGTCTTTGTTAACCTCTGTATCTGACACCAACCCAGCATCAACATCCAAAAAGCATCAAAAACAACTCTATGGGAATAATCATTAATCTTGCTGGTGGTGATGATCTCTTTTGCGTTTTTTGTAAGCTTTGAAGAGGCATCGGCATCATTTTCGGTGTGTTTCATAACCAGCTGAAAACTCCTCACAGGGGCAATAAATAAATCAGAATCATCTCGATAATGATGAGAATGGTCCCTCTTTCTGTTCTTGTACAATGTAACTGGGTTGAATGGGTCTGATCTGAAGGCAAACGTCTCATGTTACCTGCTTTAGCTCTGTATACAGAGTAAAGGTATAACAATGGAGACAAAAAGATTAAAGAGGGCATTGACAGTGCATGACAATGAAACTAGTTCAGTCAGGTTTGTCAATAAAAAAAAACCCACTTTATTTGCAGTTATTTATCTTTGGTGGTATAGCTCTGTTAGTGGATCTCCCTGTCCTTCTAAGTGCGTATATGTAGAAAACATTAGACAGGAACAGAACACATTCCTGCCCTTCCCATGCATACAATTTTAAGGCAGGTAGAGAAGCTGCAAAAAACCCCTTAACAGTACAGGTATCAGTGACAACTTTATGACATTGATTGAGTCAAACGAAGCCTAAAAGGAAGAGCTGGGGTGGAGGAGGGAGCAGCAAAGAGTAGGAAGTCTAGAGAAGCTTAAAGGAGAAGGCATTAGTGAGATTAGCCAATAGGATGTTTTGAATTTATCGGCCCGTCGATAAATCAGCCGATATTATCTTATCAAGTTACTATCAGTATTGGCTTATTCTATCCCAAATATACGCCGGTATTACTAGATTTATTCACCAGTCAAAAAGCTTTTTATTTAACTATAGTTGTTACACTAGCAGTTCTCTTTCACCAGAAGAGGCCGCTGTATGGATTACAACAGGTATCGTCACTCTCC